GCTCTAGTAGCTCACTCGCTCATCGTTTGAATCAAATAATCGTCTTCATACGCATTGTTTCACACTTCTTTTTGTCTTCGCATCGATTTACAACAGTCTATAGGGTGTCCCAAAAATGTCTCGCAATCCGGAAATGGCGGGTTCCTCGGATCATTTGAAGCAACTTCTTCCTTTACAAAAATGTTCTCCGAGGCACCGTTAACGAGTTATTAACGAAAAACAGTGACCAATAAGAATCGAGTACGGCTGACGCGAGGCGGCCCAGCCAACCAGCACGCGAAGCCCAGTTCCGCTCATTGGCTCGATCGCCTCGCGCCAGCCGAGCTCGCCTCTCATTGGTCACTGTTTTTCGTTCATAACTCGTTAACGGTGCCTCGGAGAACATTTTTGTAAAGGAAAAAGTTGCTTCGGATGGCCCGAGGAACCTGCCACTTTCGGATTGCGAGACATTTTTGGGACACCCTGTATATACAGTATCAGACTCTGTACAGTACACGTCAGACTCTGCCGTCCAGAGAAATAGCCTCGCGCAGAATTCAGCCGTACCTAAAAGGTTAATGAAATTAAAAGTTCCGGGGTCTCGTCGCGCGAGTGGAACAGGTCGGCGTCGGTCCGGACATCGAGGAATTTCTCACGGAGAAGCTCTAACTGCCCCGTCTCTAGTCGACTTAGCCGGCGTCTTCGGCAGAGAGAAAGCCATTATTTCGAAAGCCCCGCCGGTAATTGTATCGGTAATTAAGCGATAGATCGTGACCATTAGCGAGAAAAACTGCTCTCGAGTCGTTGGGGAACGATAATCCGGACTTAGCGGCGATCTACGACCGCGTTCTCATATTAGCTCTGCTTTTCTGAATTATGTAGCTCCGCGGGGGGTGGGCACGGCGACCATAAACTTCGAGCGACGCGACGGTGTAACGGGAAACGCGGGCGAGGACCGATCGGATAAAGCTAAGAAATGAGCAAAACGGTATATCGAGCGGTTACGGGAATCGCTCCGCCGTACGTCATGTACAATACCAGCAGCGACAGTTTTTACGGATATTGCATCGATCTGCTGAACGATATTGGATCCCTGGCGGGGTTCGATTACACCGTCAGGAAATCGTTCGACGAGCGTTACGGGCACAGGGACCGAGGGAACGGCAGCTGGAACGGTATGATCGCTGAATTAATGAAGAACGTGTCGGACATCGCCGTCGGCCCGATATGGATCACGTCCGACAGAATCAAGGTAAAAATATTTAATCTTCTTCCAGCCAGGCTCGATCGAAGTTCCAAGGATCGCCGGATCGATAAACGCGAGATTCGATACGAACAAATTCTTTGCCCGCGCTCTCCAAGTTGAACCTTTCAATCTCCGGTTAGGCGGGTTTCTTTCGAACGATCGTCGGTCTAAGTAGGTCCTAGAGATCCGTGACCGCGATCGATCTATCGTAGAGGTCGGTGACCTCGTTAGCGTCGGTTTAAGCAGTCGTCGCGACGATCGGAACGATCCTCGATCGATTTCGCACGACTCCCCTTTGGCTTGTTCCGCGCTCTGGACGGTCGCAAAGGTCAGTGACCGCTCTGATCGTTCCGTCAAATTATTGCGGAAAAAAAATCATTATCGCGCGTCGTAGAGGTCAGTGACCGCTCCGACGATTCCATTAAATTACCATCCCTGGTCATTGTGACCTGTTTGATATCGGTCTAAACGATCACCACGATCACCGGAGCGATTCTGAATCGATTTCGCGATTACTCCCTCGCCTGGTCGTCATCGTAGTGGTCTGTGATCACTGCGCTCGCTGATCAGAATTCTACGAAGCCTTCGCGACTCTTTCAACGTCAACCTGAGACTATCGCCGATGGCGATAGATCGATGACGATAGATCGGTGACCGCTCGATCTCTCGCTACAGGTGGTAGACTTCACGAAGCCGTTCCAGAGACCGAGCGGTTTCACGATAATGATGCTGAAAAAGAGGAAGCAGGTGCTGTTCCTCCACTTCCTGACGATCTTGGATCTCGAGATCTGGCTGTGTCTCGCGCTCGCTCTCCTCTCGATGGTCCTGCTGCTGTTCGTTTTGGAGAAATACTCGCCGTTCAGCTATCGGAACAACCGCGCGAGTTATCGGGACCAGCCGGACGATCGATTCTGCACGGCGAAGGGATGCTTCTGGTTCGCCCTGACGTCGTTGACGCCTCACGGCGGCGGGGACGTCCCGAAGAACATCTCCGGGAAAGTGGCAGCCACGTGCTGGTGGGTGTTCGGCTTCGTGATCGTCGCGGCGTACGGGGCCAATCTCGCGGCTTACGTGACCCTAGGCCGGCTCGAGAAGGATGTCGGCTCCCTGGAGGATCTCGGGAAACAGTATCGGATCTCCTATTCCACCGTGGCCGACTCCGCCGCCCACGGATACTTCCGGGCGATGAAGAAGACCGAGGAGATGCTGTTCGGGTGAGTCGGAAACCTCCTGTACAAGCCGTCGATCCTGTCGACAGCGGGATCGATCCATCGTCCCGATCTCCTTCCGTCGGTTCATCGAGCCGATAGAGAATCATGGGACAGCCGGCTGGGGCGAATCGAGCTTCGGTCTTCATGCAAATTCGTCGAAATTGATTTTCAGGTTTACTTGCGCTTTATTGATTCGCCGCGTAGACATTAATATCCGCGGGGTCTGTTATCGGTTCCTCGACGTATAAAGCGCTTCTGATATCGGCGCGCACGTTCACGATAAATATCAGTCAACGTTGTCGGCAAATATTAACCATTTCTGTACGAGCGCCGGATATATCCGGCATCCGTCTGGTCACCTGTGTGGCCGAGCGCCGGATATACAGGATGTTCCAAAATTATGGTATTTCCGAGAAACGAGGGGTTCCCGAGATCGTTTGAAGCAACTTTTTCCTTAGCGAAAATGTTCTACGATGCTTCGTTCACGAGTTATTAACGAAAAACACTGACCAATCAAAGACGAGCTCGGTTGGCGCAGGGCAGCCGAGCCAATCAGCGGATCCGGGCTTCGCGCGCTCGTTGGCTCGGCTGTCTCGCGCCAATCGAGCTCGCATCTCATTGGTCACTGTTTTTCGTCGACCCCAGGAACGACCCCAGGAACCCCTCGTTTCCCGGAAATACCATAATTTTGGGATACCCTGACGACCGGTATGGACAAGCGCCGAATACATCTGGCATTCGTGCGAGCCATATTTCTGACATATTAGAAATTATTCTAATAAAGTCTTTTCTTACAAGGATTCCGAAAAAACAGCTACAGGTATAATCGTCGTTTGATCCGAATTGATTTACAAAATTTGAGGTTACATTTTTGTTCGAAATTTGTTCATAGATTTGAACATATCGTAGGCCCTTTACAGAATGTTTACAGGAAACGAAAGATTTAGAAACGGATTAAGCACAGTTGTTACTTCAGAAAATCTTCGTACAAAAGTGAACCGACCCACTGTGCTATGTGCGCATTTTCGGCGCGGCAACCCGCACAGTGGGAGTGTCACGGCGGACAGCGCGCTCGTACCGAAAGGGTTAATTCTGTCTTAACTCTTCGAGGACGACTTCGAGGCGGAACGCTTTCTAACAGTCGCGAGCCTCTAATTTGCCGATGTACGCGAGATCAAAGATGCCGCTGTTCATTTGACTCATCGTCGACGTGTTCGAGGCACGAGCTGGTCGTCCTCCAAGGAAATTTTCCTTAATACGTTCGTAAACGGTTGCTAGCAAAGAGCGAAGGTTGCGCGTATGATAAACGAAAAAGTAAATGATATGCCAACGGGTTACTGGCATTTCCTCTCTCTGCTCCTTCCGCGCGATATATTACAGCCTTTCCGCCTTACTTATAAAATAACCTACGAAAACGGTTGCACACGAGAAGCTAACGTAAATAGTAAACGGCCGCGGAGGTACGCCGGAAAATGTAGGGAAAAATATGAGAAAGGGGAATTGTATGCAGGACTGAAATGATATTGTCTTACACGTGTACGTTTTAATAAGGCTCCGCGCGGCCGTTCTCGAGCAGCCCCGGCCGCGGCCGGCCGAAAAAGTTTCCCGCGGGGTTTCAGAACGAATATCGTAAAATGCACGACGGCGTATTCGGTGGAAGATTTTAAAAATGTTAAGCGCGGCCGGCTGTGTTGTTTCGTAAAACGTTCCGCTCGGGAACGGAACGGAATGGAAAACTGCGGAATAATAATAGCGGGTTGGCCGGCTCGGTCGAACACCGCCGAGCGTTGACAGTCCGGAATAATAGAAATCGTTTCGTCGCGAGGAACGGCCGTGCGAATAACTGCGTCGACGATAACATCTCGCAGCGATTTCTAACAGGAAATTACTTTCCTGGCGGCGGCGGGTTCGGGGATCGTCTCTCTTACATCGTCCGAACGCGACGTCGAAGCCGCGCTCCGGCTCTCTCGCGGCGATACATTACAGGGTGTCCCAAAAATGTCTCGCAAACCGAAAGTGGCGGGTTTCTCGGGTCGTTCGAAGCAACTTTTTCCTTTACAAAAATTTTCTCCGAGGCACCGTTAACGAGTTATCAACGAAAAACAGTAACCAATGAGAGGCGAGCTCGGCTGGCGCGAGGCGACCGAGCCAACGAGCGGAACTGGGCTTCGCGCGCTGGTTGGCTGGGCCGCCTCGCGTCAGCCGTACTCGATTCTTATTGGTCACTGTTTTTCGTTGATAACTCGTTAACGGTGCCTCGGAGAACATTTTTGTAAAGGAAGAAGCTGCTTCAAATGATCCGAGGAACCCGGCATTTACGGATTAAGAGACATTTTTAAGAGACACCCTCTATTAAGAAGCGCGATCGCTCGATCCCTCCCCCCGTATAATCCTGATTCACGAACGGCGAAAACGGCCAACGGTGCGAAATTGTTCGGCAGCGTTTGGAGACGAATCACCCTGGATGAGAACACGCCGGAGTGGAACAGATCCCAGTACGCCGTCTGGGATTATCCCCTGGAAGACAAGTTCACGAAGATGTATCGCGCGATGGAGCAAGCGGGATTTGTTCGGAACGTCGAGCAAGCCGCGAAGACGGTCCGGAAAGTAAACCGCACTTTCGAGTTCGCTTTTATAGCGGACGCTATGACCATAAACTACCTGATCCTGACGAACTGTGACTTCAGACAGGTCGGGCAGGAGTTCGGCAAGAAACCGTTCGCGCTCGCCGTGCAAAAGGATTCACCGTTGAAGCGGAGAATCGACGACGCGTGAGTCCTCGACTTTGCCGCTCTTTTCTATCCCCCTTTCGATCGCTCTTCCCGGCTCTTCGTCGCCGGTTCCGCTACCTTTGTCTCGACAGCGCTGCCATTTAAACGCTCCGATCGATCCTAGGCTTTCCGGCGATTCTCGTTCTCTTCAAATTGCCGTATCGAAGGTGGGCACGCGCCGGCGAAGTACGGTAATGTCTCTCTTACTGACGCTCAGATTGTCCACTGAAATGGATAATTTGGGCAGAGGAGATACGATTATTCGAGCCTTGCGGCTCGTTTTTATAATCGTGGGCAATTTATAACTATAAAAATAAACCGCAAGGCTCGAATAATCGTATCTCCTCTTCCCAAATTTTTCTGGTCAATCTGGGCGTCAATTAGAGAGACATTACTGTAATTTACGACATTCTCCGAGAAAGCGACTCTCGTCTAGATGTAGAGACTCGAGAGATAACAGCCAGCAAGATCGAATCGCTTGCGACGAACTTTGTCGTCGATGCTACGCGACGTTGAATTTACTTGGATTTTTTGGAGTCTTCGCATCAACCAGTTAAGCGTCGAATTTAGTTTTAAAAACCCCTCACGGTGTGCGGAATTCAAATCAAGCGATGAGACGTGTATGCACGACGAACGCAGGGCAAAATGGTCCTATTATAAATTTTATGAAAAACGAAGAAGAACTACATTTTTATTTCAGAAAAACTTAACGATTTATTTCTGAAAAGTTATCGTTATTATAAACCCAAAAATTCTCGAATAATAATAAAATACATAAACAAGAAAGACACGTGTAGAAAAAAAGATATTAAGAATTTCAATTGAGTTGGGTGTGATATTTCTCGAAACACGGTACCACACAAAGCGGCGCTTCGCAGGTCTTACACCAGTATCTTGACTCCTTACGGATTCCATTTTTCGAACAGACGGTACATCTTCTACCACCCCCTTCGTATAAAATACTTAGCAGTTCTATCGGTAATATAAAGAAAACATCCCAGCAAATAATATTCTTATTGTATTTTATTAAAATTTCGAGTTTTCATAGTCAATGGTAATTTTATGTTTTTAACGACGAGTAAACGCGTCGAACGCACCGTAATAGAGATTTGGTTTGACGTGTATACACGACAAACGCGCTTAACTGATTAAGAACTTACGAATTCGTATAAAGTACGACTCCAAATACCAAATCGTTAGTTAATTTCTCAATTTTGATGAACTAATCGATCGCTGACGTATGCGAATAATCGTATCTCCTCTTCCCAAAATTGTTCATTTTTGCGCGCAATCAGGGCGCGAATTAGGGAGAAATTACTGTAGCTTCCAACGAAATAGCTTGTTAAGAACTTACGAATTCGTATAAAGTACGATTTATAATACCAAATCGTTCATTAATTTCTCAATTTTGATGAACTAATCGATCACGATGACGTTGAAACGTCTAATAGTTAAACGTCTAAAGGGCTAAAGCCACCAAAAAATGTGGTCGAACGAAGACATTTATTTAACGATTTCCGGCGGAAGCGTTTTTGGGATTTCAAAATTGTGGAACAGATACGTTCGATGTGTCAAATGTCTCCAAGATGAAGTTGAATGGTTCGCGCGATGCCCTAAAAATATTTGTTTCTATGTTATTTCTTCTGGCGGCACAAAGGTCGCCTTCATTGTTTCAAACGGGACCACCGCTTTCGACGGTCCCTTTCAATAAAAATTCAACGACCGAACGTTATTGTCCTTCGATGTTATCGCGCCTTCCAATTTATCGTATATTTGAGCCGTTTATTTTGAAAGTGGCCTAAGTCCATTTATTTGAAAATCCAGATATTTAAGGATTTTACGTTTTAATAAATTTAAAAATATTGCTAATCGATAACATGGCGGTATAATGTTTTTGTGTTCCTAAGGGCCACTGCGTTCTTTCAGCTTTGCTGACATGAAATTATATGTATAACGTAGAAACGTGAATATATTAAAATAGCTAGCTCGGTGTTTTTGAAAAATGACTTAGGCCACTTTCCAAATAAACGGTTCAAATATCGAGAGATCTTGACACACCCTGTACAGCTCGGAAATCACACTTTCGAATTATTGCAGAGAGTTGCAACAGTATTTGCAACGCCGTGCACGCGCCGCTGCAAGTTGTTCCGGCGAAAGCGAGTCGCAGATTACTCGCAAGCGTATCCGCGCCTTTACTTACGTCGGATCCGCGGCCCATCACAGTTTTTCAGAATTTCGAACGTCCTCGGTAACGGTTGCAATCTCTCAAGCTTCCATGGAGTACCTTGGCACGATCTGTTTCATTCGATAACATTCCACCGTCGTCCGATCGATCCATTTAATTATACGAGCCGTTCGTATCTCCTGAAATTTTTATTAATCTTGATAATGGTCGCGATCATTCAGGCTTCCTCAGACCCGTTTCCATTGGCTCAACGTTCCACTTTGTTGAATGAAGTTTCCTGCGCCGCGAGCGTCCCACGGTTTTATTCTCGTACCGTCGTCGTTCGATCTGCTTATTTAATCCGGCTGATTTTTTTTCATCGCGAGAGAAATCTGCGCGGCAACGATATCCGTTGAAGCAAGAAGTAATTTCTTGAGTCTTGGAAATAAGCCTCCATGTTCCGTCCTTCAACGGAATTTTCGGGCAGCATCCGCCTATCTTTCTTCGAGACGAATTACCTTTCACTTTTATCCTTAAAAAAACGTTTATTGACGGGGAATCTTCACGGCTCAACGAGACAAATTTAACAGTCCTTCGACGAACGACGCGCAATCGACAAAAGGTCACATTTTTTACGTTTTCATTTTCGTAGAGCCATAGCCTTCTTTCTTGCAATTTCTAAGATTATGATTTTCGAACCATCTTCTTTCCGGCAATAATGTCATTTCTGCACTTTCGAATAATGCACACCTTCATCGGCAGCATTTTTTATGACAGAGTCGCTAGCACGCACCGCTTCGGTCGCCCGTCCAGGGTTTCTTGCTACCCGCGGCACTGCGTGCATTTCTAGTTTTCTGTCCATGAAACAGTATAAAAACTCGAAACCGATTCTTCTCTTGATCAGTCGTCAGTCGTCAGTTGCTCAGTTGCTCAGTTGCTCAGTTGCTCAGTTGCTCAGTTGCTCAGTTGCTCAGTTACTCAGTTACTCAGTTACTCAGTTATTGAGTTGCTCAGTTATTGAGTTACTGAGTTATTGAGTTACTGAGTTATATTGAGTTACTGAGTTATATTGAGTTACTGAGTTATACTGAGTTATTGAGTTATACTGAGTTATTGAGTAATACTGTGTGAGTTATTGACTTATACTGAGTTATTGAATTACTGAGTTATTGAATTACTGAGTTATTGAATTACTGAGTTACTGAGTTGCTCAGTTCATACTTATTCAGCCACAATCTTATTCACGCTTGTTGAGTGGCACATTCTAAATCAACCAAACAGTTGTCCCTTTTTTAATTAAACGGACAACGATATCGAACCACTCCGTCGCGCAGCGTAATCGGCCTTACAACCCGAGAGATAGTTTATATCGCGGAGTGACGATATCGGGTGCGAATACGACGCATCCAAACACTCCACAACCTGAAATGCAGGGTTTCCATATACCTGAGAGAGTACACAAGTATAAAAACATGCATTCTCGCCCAGGCCTCTCAGGTTCTTCCGTGCTCTCATACTGTGCGCTTGTTCACCGTGTGTCCTCTTCGCTTCTTTCTTAGCCTTTTGAACTCTGAATACTCCTGGCCGAAACGGTTCGTAGGGACGGAGCGCGGCTATCGCTGACCATCGCTGGGGGCGGAATACTTTTTTGCCACACTGAAGTGACTATTCAAGGCGCAAACAGTAATAAATTATAGTGATTCTTTTGCAGAAGGTTAAATAATTAATCTTCTGATTCAATGTCTGATGATAGTGATTCACTATATTCTATTTCACTGTCGTCCCTTGTGAAATATTCCTCAAGATTTGACATTTTGTAGGGTGTCACGAATAAAAAAAAATAATCGAACAAGTTATATTCCGCACTATCGTTGTTGACGCGAGCGAGACCGTGAGGTTCTTGCATTCGCAAGACGATACTGCTGACCGAGTCGTTTTGAGTGCTTTGAGTCGCGAAATGGTGACAGTGCAGGTAATTATTTTGAAACCTAATTGGTTAGAGAGTGGGACACATAAAATGGGATTTCTGTTTCGGAAATTCCCGGGGATTTTTATGACCCTAATATTGCCCAATTACTAACGAGTGCCCCTGTATTAATTTTACACGAAAATAACTGCATATCGATTGAAAAAATCGACAAACGCATATATGCGCCCTTAGTCCAGGCCGATGACTTAGAGAAAACAGATAAATGCGGCCTTAGGCTACACGGATGACTTTCGCCAAACGCGTATATGCGTCCATAGAGCTCTAAGGGTTAAATATAGTTATTTACGCGTGTCTCATTCTGCACCCTTTTATTTCAAATAACCCCGTCAACAATGTCCGTTCTCGAGAACATTCGATAAACGAAGCTGTAAATCGTCAGCTGCGACGGCGAACGGCGGCCGAACGGAGAGGAAACTTGTTCCGCAATTTTCGAGCATAAACAATCGTAATCGTCCGCCTTTTAATTGAAGTTCGAGCGGCTTCAAGAAACTTGCGGCGGATACCGCGAAGAGAATCCAGGCAAAGATTCAGTTTTCTTTGGGTTCGGACTCCATCGCGGCGGGACCGCAAGAACTCTCGGCTCGGCTCGCCTCGATATGAAAGTTTGAGGGATTGGAAAACTGTAGGAGCTATTGTTAATGCGTTCGAGGCACGGCGGGGATATTTTTCGCCGTGCTCCAGTTTCCGCGTTGGCAGCAGAGGCGGCGGAGGCAGAGGCGACGGCGGCGTCGGGCGTGCGCAGTCTCGGATTTCGTCATAATGATTAACATTTAATTACAGGATCACGCGTCTGGCGACACGCGGCAGATTGAAGCAGCTCGAGAGAAAATGGTGGGACGAGAACCCTTCGAGGGCAGATTGCCCGGCAGATTTAGACCCGAACGCCGGCTTTGGTCTCGACGATTTGGCGGCGGTGTTCTCGCTGATCCTCGTCGGCGTCCTGCTCTCCATTCTAATATTATGCTCGCAGTATTTCCGGCGTTCGCCCGGCGACGTCGACGGGAAACCTGCGGAAAGACGTCTCACCCGCGATCGATCGAACGTCCGAAATCAAAGCGGAGCCGAGGACAGCGTAGCCTCTGTCGGAAATATTTTTCGCTCGCGTTGTTCCGCGAACACGCTCCGAGCTGGAAACTTCCTGCGGAACGACGGCAGCCGCGGGAAATAACCGGGGGAAATGGAAGGAACGACTAGAATGCTTCTTTTTAATTTTGTTGTTTCTTGGAACGACGAACGAATGTAAAAGATCGCGTTCATTTTCAATTTTTTAGCCGTGTAACGAAAATTTAATCGATGCGTTTCGTAGGCGATCGCATCGCAGGAAGATTGTGAAGTTAGAAACGATTCAGCTTTCGTTTGGCATCTACGGATTTTTCTGCAAAATAAATATTGTCCAAATTGATTCTAATAAATACAACGAGTTAAAAATAATGCCTCGAAAAAAATATCCTCGAATTCTTTTAACGCCTTTACAATTTTGCGTTTGACCTGCTTATTATTATGTTAATATCTTTATAATTTGGTTTTCGACCTGTTCGTTTCTCTCGCGAAATGAGTGCATACCCGCGGTAATCGTTCCTTCCATACCGAGGGAAATGGAAGGAAAGATAGGAATGGACGGAGCGCGCGAGCCGTCCGGGGAAAAAACCGTTGTTTCCCAGGAACAGATTTCCCGTTCGCTCGTCGGATTAACTTGTCACGTCCTGACAAACCGGCCAAACAACCCCCGCGTCCCAGGAAACGCGACGGAAACGCCGTTTGTCGCGGCAATTAGCTGAATCCGTTTTCTCAGCCACCCTGCTCTTTTTTCTGTCTTTTTTTCTGTTTTTTTTTTTGAGAAACGACGGAAAACCTTCCGGGTTTGATGCGGGAATCGATAAGGTTTTTACGCGACTGCGAAAGTTTTAGACCGCCGATTTCCGCGTTTTTTGCACGTAGCACCGCTGGAAGCGATTTGTACGATTCAGCTTGTCGGAACGAATGAAGAGCGAGTTCCGTGCTCGAATAAAGAGACTGATTTCGATTACCATTCCCGATGGCGCAAGATCAGGAAATTCTGCCACGTTCCGGTCTTCTACGCTTGGGAACCCTTGTCGCGACAGGATCAGTTGAAATCCACGGACCCATTCCGCTCGAGCTCGACTTCGTTAAGAAAGGAACACCCGGCTCCGGCGGATCCCACGAAAGGGGTCCCGTAACGCTAATTTCTCGCGGCCAGACACCCGATCCGCAGAACGTTCGAACCGCTGCGAACGTTCGTTCGCGATCTTTGAGGTGTTAATTCGCGAGATGAATATGCGCCGAGCGATTTGCTAGTCCGACAGGGACGCGAAATCGCAAAGATCGGCGACTTCCGCGATCGACCCTCGCTATCTATCTTGTTTCGGGCACGTGATACACGGCCGATAGGAACACTATGAACATCGATTATAATTGGGAAATTTTCTGATCGCTGCCGCAATATTGAATCGTCGATCTAGCAGCGTCTCTGTGCTTCCTTCGGCGGCCAGAACTGTCACGCGGGTCGGTGATTAATTGCTCTTTTTGTGCGAACGACGCAGATTGGAGTTTTTGGTCTCAAAAACTGGCTCGATAAATCTTGCGCGCGATATGAAATTTTTGCTTTCTCAGATAGTCGAATGTACAGTCACCGAAGTATTCGTACACTTTTATAGATGTTCGTAACATTTTTTAAATGTTTCATTTCCAAATGTTTCGTATTTTCTGGCGATGTTAATGGAATTAGTTTGCCGTGAAACGAGTAGAATGCTTCTTTTCAATTTTGTTATTTCTTGGAACGACAAGAAAAATATGAAAGATCACGTTCTTTTTTAATTTTTTAGCCGAGCATGTAACGAAAATTTAATTAATACGTTTCGTAGGCGATCGCATCGCAGAGATTGTTCCCGTAAAAAAAGATTGAAAAGTTAGAAACGATTCAGCTTTCACTTGGCATCCGCGGATTTTTGTGCAAAATAAATATTGTCCAAATTGATTGTAAGAAATACAACGAGTTTACTTTTATGTTAACACATATGATTCTTTTGTTTGACGCCGGCATAATAGCTTGGAAATTTTAGATTTTAAAAAAGATGTCGAAGATGGCGGTAATATAAATTCTTAAAATTAAGATACGTCATCCAAGAGGTTTCGTACATAATTCTTAGTTAAATAATCACAATGCTACAGTTAGTTCGCTGCCTTTTAACACCCAAGAAATATAGTTCAAATGTTATTTCAGTTTTTTAAAATGGCACCAAAGCGGTACCATCGGCATGGCATCAGCGTGGTGCCACCGGGCGGCATAGTGTTAATATCTTTATAATATAATAATAATAAATTATAATATCTAATAATAATTATATAATAATTATATCTTAAATTATAATATCTTTATAATATCTTTACATCGACCAGTTCGTTTCTCTCGCGAAACGAGTGCATAGCCGCGGTAATTAGTGCGTCCGCGCTTTTATCGGAGCGCGAACAAAGTATCCGAAGAAAAAGAAAGTATCTCAAAGCATCCTCTCGACCACGTTTTCTGGAATCGTGATCATCGTGCGGTGGCCGTCGAGTGAAATACGATTCGAGCGATTTGTTGCCGCGAAGGGGATGATTTGCGGGGGAATCGAAGGGGAAAGTCGCGGACATTTCGCGACACCGTGCCGAGTCACGTCACGTCGCGTCACGTCGCGAGCTCTCGAAACGAACGATGGACGCGTTGCGCCGCGGGAAAAGCGACGATCGACCGACCGATGGTCAATTAGCGGATAGCAGGATCTCGAGACACGCGATTACCGTCATGCAAATTCGCGGCAGAGAGCGTCGCGTCGCGTCGCGTCGCGGTCTTCGCGGTCTTCGCGGTCTCGGAGTCGCCGATGCTCGTCCAGAAGAGCGATCTACAAGAAATTTTCGCGGGACGATAGACAGCCCGGCCAAACGAAAAATAAAACGGGAAGAGACAGTCGCGTAGTTGCGTTGTCGAGAAATTGATTAGGTCATCCCCGCGGCAACCGGTGGGCAAACACGAATGAAATGGAGCGAGCCACCCCTGTGGCTTCGTTTCGAGGGCTCAGTTGCTTGACCGATTTCCGCCCGGTTTCCGGCCGCGACTTGTCGTCGACGCCGATCACAAGTCCACGAGGGTGTCGGATTGCGCCCCATCGATTGCTCTTCGACTCCGAATGCCGAACGTTTAGACGCGAATCGAACAGCGCCTCGGCGAGCGCTCGACGGCGAACGTGATTCTTCGCGGCTGTTTCCGCTTTGCAAATGAAATCGTTCCTCGCGACCGCTCTGTGCGGCTTCCTCCTGCTTCGGGCCGGGTTTCCGGTTCACGGGAAAGACGACAGCATCGCCACCGACAAGGAATCCACCGGCGGAAGTAGGCCTGTCAACCTCTGTAAGTGTCTCGCGCTGACTTTCTTCCTCGTTGCTTTCGAGACAGACGCAGGGTGATCCGACGAGAGACCCGGGTGCTTCTTCGTCGAGCGTTGCAAGCCTGACGCCGCGCTCTCGTCGAAACACCCTGTCTAAATACCGCTCGCGATCGATGCACCAATTATCCAACGTCCGCTCTTTAGTCATCGTGAACGACGAGAAGAACACCGTGGCCAACAAGAGCATCCTAGCCGGGCTGAAGACGCTCAAGGAGAAGTTCCCGGAGTACGTCGGCAAGGTCTGGTCGGTTCAGATCAACGGGACCAACGTGAACGACACTCTGGACCACATCTGCGACGCCTGGGACTCCGCGGTGGACGACGGGGAGGACCTCCGAGTCCCGGACGTGATTCTGGACACGACCATGGCGGGTCTGATGGCCAAGATAGCGAACTCGTTCACGGCCGCGATGGGGGTCCCCACTCTGTCCGCGCAGTACGGTCAGGAGGGAGACTTGATCTACTGGAGGAACTTGAACGAGGATCAAGCGGAGTACTTGATCCAGGTGATGCCTCCGGCGGACCTGATCCCGGAGGCGGTGAAGCAGCTGGCCCTTAGGTTGACGATCACGAACGCCGCGATCCTCTACGACGGGAACTTCGTGATGGACCACAAGTACAAGAGCCTGTTGCTGAACGTGCCGACCAGGCACGTGATCCACGAGGTGACCAGACGGGAGGCGGACGTGCGGACGCAGCTGTCGAAGCTGAGGGACTTGGACATCGTTAATTACTTCGTCCTGAGCGACGCCAGCACCATGAACGTCGTTCTGGAGGCGGCCGAGTCGCTGAACTTCACCGGCAAGAAGTACGGCTGGTTCCTGCTGACTCCGGAGAGCGACGTCGAGCCGATGTGCAGCTGCAAGAACATCACGGTGCTCTTCATGCGCCCGGAGCTCCGGGACCAGAAGGAGCAGATCGCCGAAGTTGATCTGCCGAAGCCGCTCGTCTCGTCCGCTTTCTACTACGATCTCGTTCAGCTGGCGGTCAAAGCGATGAAGCTGGCGGTGGACGACGGCGACTGGCCCAAGCTGCCCAAGCACATCACCTGCGACCGGTACAACAACACCAACACGCCCGAGAGGAAGTTCGACTTCCTGGCGAAGCTCGAGGCCGCCTACGCGGACACGACGCCCACTTACGCCGGCATCCATTGGGGAACCAAGAACGGCAAGCATCATGCCAAGTTCGAGATGTCCATCCACCTGGTGAACATCGAGGACGGAGAGGTTTTGCCGATGATCGATAGCGGATCCTGGAATGTCAGCCTCTCGATGCCCTTGCAGGTAAGTCGAGGGACGAAGGAGGACGCGATAAGAGAATTGTCCAAGCGTGTAAACCTCGTACAACACGGTACAGTAATGTCTCCCTAATTGACGCTCAGATTGTTCACAAATATAGAGAATTTGGGAAGAAGAGATGCGATTATTCGAGCCTGGCGGTTCGTTTTCATGGTTGCGAATTGTCAAGAAATATAAAAACGAGCTGCAAGGCTCGAATAATCGTATCTCCTCTTCCCAAACTGTCCATTTTCCTGCGCAATCTGAGCGCTAAGGGTTAATGTAACCCTAATTTAATAAATTTCTTCCTCGTCGCTGCTCGGTGCGATCAAACGAGAACGTCGTTTTCGGTCGAACGACGTCACCTTCGCTTTCTGAACCGGGGGAAATTAAATCAATAATTAATCAATCGGTCGCTTCGCTTTTGTTGGAAAGAAACCGGCGATATCGCGCGATCCAGGGACGAAATAACTACGGTTCGTGCACACGAGTCGAAGAATTGAAAAATGTCAGAGTATCGACGACTCGGCCCGGCGATTCGTTTAATTCCCCGGGAATGGTACTTTAGTATTTATTGCGCACGAAGACGACCGACGGGGAGGCCTGTGCGTGACATTATCGCAACGGGAAATTGGGTCGGTCTATTGATCTACGAAAAAATGGTGGTTTTGAGTCACGCGAGGACGGCGGGTTTCGATAATCGAATGTCACGGCTGGAGCGCGTTTCGAAATTCGTTGTTGAAAAATTTGCCCGACAAAAATCCGCCGCGGCTCCGTTTTTCCGCGCCGCAATCTGCGTACGATCGACGTCGCGCGGACGGGAACGGATCTCAGGGTTGGATCAAAATTTTCCGATCGTTTCATGCTTGAAACACGTACATTCGGAATAACCGTGAATATTTCTGCGAAAGAAGCTTCTTCGTTGAATTTCTCGCGTTTCCGTTTGCCCATAGAGAAACGATTCGCCGCTTGGAATAATCGGAGGGAAAATTACAGCTGCGATAATTCCTTGACCGTGACCCTTGACCGGCCCGGTGACCGTGTCCTTGACACGCGGCTTCGCCACATTTATTTACACCTTTTACCGTTACCGATAACGAAGCGCGCCGATGAAGATAACACATGCAACTTCGTTTGTTTATCGGGTGCACGCCGCAGCGAAAGCCCGCGGGCACGTAAACGTGCTCCGGCATTCGCGGCCGTTGTTTCGCGGAATTCTCTAACACCTGACACACGTAGAATTTACTGCGAGGATCTCTGGGTGCTCGCGAGCCGGAGACCCGAGCGAAGGGAATCCGCGAAGTCGACTCGGCGCGCTCTTTAAACGCGCAGTTATCGTCGGCCATCAAATTTCTGCCCCTATAATACCACCCGACAGCTTCTATTACATCCTGTAAGTAGCAATATTCTGCCGCAATGTAACACGCAATATCGAGCGTCGTATCCATCATATTTTCTATGAAATGGTATCTGGTTAAACTGCGGACCTTACGCCTTTCTGACAATAGCAAGCGCGATCGTAAACGGTAAAGATGTCGGAAGGATTTAACACCAAAGCTGCCGAATTCTAAATGTAACTGACGTACGTTGTTGTTTTCTAACGACGGAAGGATTGTATTTGTATAGAATTTTTGTCAGTTTTATAACGATTTATGTCCGGATCAAGAAAATTCAGTCATTAACTTTATATATATATATATATCTTCCCAAGTCGTCCATTTTTGTGCGCAATCCAGCGCGAATTAGGGAGAAATTACTGTACTCTCGTTTCTTCGTGACAAAAATCTCAATTCGAAATACAGTTCGAAACTATAAAAACGAACCGCAAGGTTCGAATAATCATGTCTCTTCTTCCTGAATTGTCCATTTTTGTGTACAATCTCAGTGCGAATTAGGGAATCGGATACTCGGATTAGAGAAATTGCTGTAATAGAAATTGCCAGTGCAAAAAATCCTCCCGAATTATCTCTCAGCTATTATAAACAAAAATAAACAATTTGGGAAGAGGCGATACGATTATTCGAGCCTCGCTTTTATAGTTGTTGACAATCGGTAACTATACAAACAAGCCGCGAGGCTCGAACGATCGTATCTCCTCTCCCCAAATTGTCCTTTCTCGGTGCGCAATCTGAGCGCGAATTAGGGAGAAATTACTGTACTCGAAAACGAAGGAAAGATTTACGTAGCCACTGTTCCCGGCGATCGGAACAAACAATTTTTATTCCGCGCGAAAATCCGCAGTCTACCGACGATCCCCCATAGACCCGAAAGCCTCTCCGAAGCTGTCATAGTTCTCGCGAGACGAGATCCGTCGGCCCTGGCCGCTGCAGGGATCGAGAAGCGATCGAGAAGATCGAACTAATATCCTGATTCTGCGAAGATTACGAACGAGAGGGTGATGAACGCGACCGCGGTGAAGAGCTACAGGGTGGTCACGGTGATCTACCCTCCCTTCGTGATGTTCGACAAGCAGAAGAACGAGTACTACGGCTTCTGTATCGACTTGCTGAACGAGATCAAGGAGATGGTGGGTTTCCATTACGAGATCCGCGAGACGGAGGACGGGTTGTTCGGTAACCTGAACCAGGACAACAGTTGGAGCGGCATGATGAAGGAGCTGATCACGAAAAGGGCGGACATAGCGCTGAGCGCTTTGTGGGTGACGGCGGAACGCGAGAGGATCGTCGATTTCACGGTGCCGTTCTACGACCTGGTCGGTCTGTCCATCATGATGCTGAAGACGAAGACGACCACGTCGCTCTTCAAGTTCCTCACCGTGCTCGAGAGCGAGGTCTGGTTTTGCATACTGGCAGCCTACCTGTTCACCAGCGTGCTGCTCTGGATGTTCGACAGGTGGTCGCCGTACAGCTACCAGAACAACCGCGAGAAGTACAGGAACGACGACGAGAAGAGGGAGTTCAACCTGAGGGAGTGCTTCTGGTTTTGCATGACCTCCCTGACGCCTCAGGGCGGCGGAGAAGCGCCGAAGAACCTGTCCGGCAGGCTCGTGGCCGCGACGTGGTGGCTCTTCGGGTTCATCATAATCGCCTCCTACACTGCGAATCTGGCCGCGTTCCTCACGGTTTCGAGGCTCGAGATACCGATCGAGACGCTGGAGGATCTCAGCAAACAGTACAAGATCCAGTACGCGCCGACCATAAACTCGTCGGCTTATATCTATTTCAAAAGGATGGCCAACATCGAATTGAAGTTTTACGAGTAAGTCTCCGATTCGATCGGAGCGAGCTTCGGTATTATATTATATTTATTATATACGCGGTATTATATTGATATTATTATATTATATTCGGCATATTTTCATAATTAACCTTTTAGGTACGGCTGAATTCTGCGCGAGGCTATTTCTCTGGACGGCAGAGTCTGACGTGTACTGTACAGAGTCTGATACTGTATATACAGGGTGTCCCAAAAATGTCTCGCAATCCGAAAGTGGCGGATTGCTCAGGCCATTTGAAACAACTTTTTCCTTTACAAAAATGTTCTCCGAGGCACCGTTAACGAGTTATCAACGAAAAACAGTGACCAATAAGAATCGAGTACGGCTGACGCGAGGCGGCCCAGCCAACCAGCGCGCGAAGCCCGGTTCCGCTCGTTGGCTCGGTCGCCTCGCGCCAGCCGAGCTCGCCTCTCATTGGTCACTGTTTTTCGTTAATAACTCGTTAACGGTGGCTCGGAGAACATTTTTGTAAAGGAAGAAGTTGCTTCAAATGATCCGAGGAACCCGCCATTTCCGGATTGCGAGACATTTTTGGGACACCCTATAGACTGTTGTAAATCGATGCGAAGACAAAAGAAGTGTGAAACAATGCATACGAAGACGATTATTTGATTCAAACGATGAGCGAGTGAGCTACTAG